TGCATTACCTTTGCATTGCATTACATTTGTTGTGATATGTGTTGTCCATTATTTTAAAGTTTGCATCATTACATATATATGGGGATATATAACTGTTGCTCTTATATGCAAAATTTGCCTCTGTATGGTATTTGTTAATTGTTTGGAAACTTTGGTACTTCTAATCGGATGTTATCTTCTTTTTTATGTTGTAAAAGGGGGAGAAGCATGTGCAAGATGAAGATAGGAAGCACAAAGACAGGGGGAGATTTTGAAAATTATAATAAATGCATCGTCGAAAGTTTTTCCATCGTCAAAAAGAGGGAGTTTGTGAGTACAACTTCAACATAAGGTGTTTTTCATGATGTCAAAACCAGGAAAGATGACACGGCTGTAAAATTAATTGTATCTCTTTGTCTTGTGGCACTCTTCTGCATTACAGGTCTTAGGAATAATAAAAAAGCACTTTGAAATTGATCAATCTCATTGAAAAACACTTTCTGCGCATTTTTGCATTGCATGTGTCGACACATTCGATTTTCAGGTCGACACATGTAACTCAGTTTTTAAGCCTGTAAGCTCCTGTAAGTCACAGGCCGACACATATAGCCTCTAGGTCGACACATATTGAAAGAATTATGAAATTGCATAAATTATTATTTTATGTGTCGACACATCCATATTTCAAGTCAAGACATTTACTCATGTTTTATAGCCTGTAGCTACTGACTTGCTCAGGTCGACACATAGAGTCCTTCAGGTCGACACATGCAGCCTTTTTATAAAGTATGTGTCGACACATACAATTTTGAGGTCGACACATAAATTTTGTTTTGGTCAAATTTTCATTTTCTTTTATTTAGAATCTATCCTTTTGCCCTAAACTTTTCCAAACTATAAATACCCTTCATGCATTACTTTTAACTTGATGATACCATAAAATTAACCTACTTTTTCTCTTCATCTTTAACCTTTCAATCTATGCATACACACCAATATTATATTATGATGATGTTCCATCGGGGTGTCATCTAGATGAAGAATTGAAGATTTCCAATTAGTTTGGGTTGAGTTCTTATAGGGGACTTCATTCGGAAAAACCATCGGGTTTGTCCTCCAATATCATTTGTTGGATTGAGGGTTTTCATGCAAGATAGTGCGAGAAGGAATCGTCCATGTGAAAAATCCCTTGGAGTGTATGAAATCTTTTCAAGGAACCTTAGAGTGGTTGAAATCTTTTTAAGGAAGTAGCAAGAATTGGATGATAGAATCAGTGATCTTGTGTTGATAGTGTGCGATCGTATTTACTCGAGTGAAAAATCCTTTGGAGTGTTTGAAATCTTTTCAAGGAATCTTGGAGTGTTTGAAATCCTTTTAAGGAAGTAGCTTAAGCGGCGAATAGGTTGCATCTATCGGTTGATTTGATCTTGCTTAAGATCAAAGGTTGGAAGAAGAAGCATCAACACCAAATTGAAGAATTTTGTATTGTTGTTTCTAACTCTTCCATTGTATTAAACATTTTTCGTATAAGAATTATCCTATTTCTATTGGAATTAGGTGCAGACGTACCCACATGCGAGGACAACAGTGGGGAACTGTGTAGACAAATTCCTTGTGTGTTTTTACTTTTCCATTTTTACTTGCTTTCAATTTCATCAATCCTTTTATCAAATAGCATTGTGATAGTAATTGAATTGTAAAAATTTTTCTCTAAAAATTTATTTTTGAAATAGGTGTGGATATAGCTTATAATCAATTTTGATTAAAAGTGATTTTGTACATCAACACTACTCAAAGAGAAATTCTGAAAATTCATTTTCACGCCAAGTGTTTGATAAAACGACCAAGTTAGTTCTTTGATTATTTAGCCTTGAAAATAGCATTACAAAGTGATTGTGTTCAAACAATAAATAAGTGGATTGTTGATTTGAGTTTGTATTAATCAATTACTCACTTTTATCTCATAGATTTATCTTTCATAATTTGTATATCCGAGTTTCCAATAAGTTGTTTTTTAGACGACTTATCCAGTTAATTGCTTCCCCATCAAAAAGTTTTGAAAATAAATTAAATTTTAGATATGTGTCTAGAATAAATTTGTTGTGCCTCTATTCACCCCCATTTAGATACGCGTTGTCTTCTAACACAAACATTATGCAGGTCATATCTGTTTGAAATTACTTCGAAGATACATCTCTGGATCCGCCTTATTTTTTCAAAAAAAAAGGGTCGCTCCGGAGATGCATCTCTAAATGGTTTCTCGTTTTGGTTTTTTAATTAATAAAGGGGTATCCAGAGATTCATCTCCGGATCTACCCAAAAATTATGCGGAGAACATAACCATAATTATGTGGAGCAGAATTTGAAAAACAAAAACGTTCCAAAAATATCACCCAATTTTATAACATTATGTGGAGCGTTACTTTAAAAAATGTGGTACATTGTTAGATTACAACTAAAACACATCAAAAGTTGAGTCACTACCTAAATCTATTGGTGGTTTAATCTTTGACCTTTCCTTATTTCATTTGCTTCTCGTTCAATGTCGCTCAATTTGGTGAACTCTTCCACCCTTTCAAGAAAGTGATTTGTCGATGTTTCAGCATCTTATGTGAAATGAGTTGTCCACTCTGATGATGTCTCGGGTATTGGACATCCCGATTTTAAATAAACCTGAACAAAATGTTGTTTTTTATAACCAACCAATACACATGATGCGTTCAGATGAATTATGAGGTGGCTTACTCTGAAGTGGAAATAATATTTTTGAGAAATCATATCGTGTTAAATAATTGCACACTCTATCATAAGCACTTGTTATAAGATGTCTCATTTCCGGAATGCGCGTCCATTTGTCAAACTGAGTCGGACCACTAAGACAAGGAACAAGAGCATTGAGAATTGTATCGTAATTTGCTTGGTTTCCAGATAGCTTTGTGTATGATTTCCTATGCGTTGTCCTCTCTGGATTCAACGATCCTTTTTCAGCTTCAAAAATGGATTAATGCGAGAAATAAGGGATGGAATGAATTATCTATACCTGTAATTCCAACTTGTTTTGCTCCCTTTGAAGTGATAACATACAAGAGGATGTTTTGGTGTTGAAAAGATGATTGAGAGTGAGAGAGTTTTTTCAAGGTTTTTTGCAATGGTTATTTGTTTTAGTATAAAGAAGAAGCTCATGTAAGGTGGTGTTTTATCAACCTTTCCGCTATCTCTGAAAATGTGACTAAATTGTTTTTTAAATCAGTTGCGTAATTAACAAAATTCTATAAATGAGTGCAGGGTATATTTCAAAGATGCACCTGCAGATACACTCAAACAGTATACGGAGATGCATCTCCGAGCCATTTTAAATAAAAAACTGAAGTGAAACTCAAAAAAGAGAGGATTTACATTACTTTGAATGTGTCCGGAGATATATTGTAAAATCAAGCTTCTCAAATGAACGTTTGTTTTGATGAAGACAAACCATGATTGACAAAGAAGGCAAAGATTTATGATCAAGCTCAAAGCATCTAAGGACAAAATCTTCAGTTCAAAGCTCTTAAACAACTTTCAAGGTATAATAATATTACTTACTTTGATCTTAAGATATAGATGCTCAATGATGAATAAGAAATGTTTTATAAATCATTACTCAAGTTTTTCAAAGTTAAAATTCATTTTTCACTTGAGTGCAATCGATTTGCATATTAGTGTAATCGATTGCATGCTTCAATTTTTCAGATCTTTTACTTCTGTTTCTCTGTGCAATCGATTTACATTGCTTGTGCAATCGATTGCATACTTAAAATTTTCAAAATGTTTGCTTCTGTTTCTCAGTGCAATTGATTTACATTGCTTGTGCAATCGATTGCACTCACTTACTTTTTGCTACTGACTTCACATGCAATCGATTTACATTGCTAGTACAATCGATTGCACACTTAAAACTTTTGAAAATATAGTTGTTGAAATTCTGTGCAATCGATTTACACAAAGTGTGCAATCGATTGCATGTTGCACGATTTTGAAAAACAACAGCTTTTCACATGTCTGTTCATAATACATTTTCATTGAAACCTTTCACTTAATCTTGGCATTTGTTTATGATTCATTTTCAGAACTTCATGATGTTTCAAAAGGGTGTTATGAACATATAAATATTCATTTTCAAAATCATTTTCAACACCTCTTCCAAATATACTTTCTGAATTTTCAAAATACAAACTCAAGCATTTCTTCACTTTCATACATAAGTTTTCTGCACATTTTCATACATTGTTAAACAGAAAACTTTGAGCAATTATATCTTGAGTCATTATACAATATTGTTATTGGAAGAGAAGATCATTCGTTGTTAAATCACTCTAAGTGATCAATACTACTCAACTCACTCAAAATCAAATATTGATAGATACTTACTTATTTTTCCAGGATTGTTGGAAATAAGTTTAAGTGGTTTTTTAAATCTTGTCTTTCCAGGATTGTTTGATACAAGTGTAGTCACTTTGAGAGGATTGTTCTTGGTCCAAGAGGATTGTTCTTGGTGGTTTTATTGATTAGAGTCTTGTATAGAAGGACTAGGGTGTCTTGTCTAGAGATCTAACAATAAGGAAATCTCTTTCATGTTGAAAGGGGACTGGAGTACTCTCGGACTGTGAGAAGAACCAGGATATATCGTCCGTGTCTCTTTATTTTTCTGTACTTTAAACTTTCCTAAACTCACCATTAACCAAAAAAATAATATCCATCATCACTAAAACCATAATTTTTTAAAGTACCTAATTCACCCTCTCTTAGGCGCACTTCGTACTTACATATATCTCCAAAATCCTAAAGGACAAATTTAAATTTTCAAAAGTGTGGTATATGCTCGCATTTCCCAAACTAATATAACTTCTACTTCTATTCTAATTTGACATCTAAATTATTTAGTTAACTATAATACTTAACATCCTTGAATTTGACCCTTTTGATGTAAAATAACACTGATAATTAAGCCAAAGCTTCTCATGCATCACTGAATAATGAAGTAACTGGTGAGTAAATGCTTGACTATCCAAGCCTGGATCTTATTCTTCTACAGTTGTTTTATCTTCAGATATAAGTACCCTTCTTTGACACTCTTATTGTTCATTGTTCAAACATTTGTGTTTGTTACAGGTTCATCAGCTATTGAAAAGAACAAGCTCATACAAATCGTTTTACAGGAATTACCAAAGGATTTATCTGAAATCTTCTTGGCTAGGAGGTTTGTTGAAGCATGGAGAATAATTTTCCGTGATAGATATTTGGTTAACGGAATGAATATTGAGACACCACTTAGAATAGTGATAGGAAACTTAGCATGAAGGTGATATTCTTTGTATTTGATTAATACTTAATAGAAATAACATTTTGTAATAGCTTCTAAATATTGAAAGTGAAAACAAAGCTTCTCATACTCGATTACATAGGATCAAAGATCAAATAAAATCACACTTGATTCAATTTCAGACAATAGTTGGAAGTGGTTTTCCTTCCAAAAATGCCTTAAACAACACCAATGATCTCTCTGGTTGTGAAAATGGAGCCTCATGAGCTGCTCCTCTTATGGTAGCAAATGATAAAATGTTACTACCATATACTTGTGTCCATCCACCTACCTGCCTTCCCTGCAACCAAGCTCTATAGGACTCTGTTGTGTTCAACCCAATGTCCTTGGCTAATCCATTTACCAAAGAACGAGTCCCGGTTAAAGGTATAACTGAATCTTGATCTCCGCTGCAGCGAGATATAGCTTTGCTTGATCAATCCAAATCATATGACATTGATTAACCAATGGTTGGAATCAAAGTAAATAGTATGTTACCTGTATACTAGAACTCTTACACCTGATTTAACGAGTGTCCCTAGAATCGATATAGTTGGAATCTCTAGGTTTTGCATGTCATATTTGAGAACTCTGTAACACAAGGAAAATAAGTATTAACACTCATTTTGTAATTCTATTTATAATGCTCATTCGTCTTTGTAACACAGACACTTGTGATTACGTTCAATCTATTCATATTTTCAAATTATTATTAGTGTTGTCTCTAGTGTCTGTGTCTTGTGTCTGTGTCTGTGCTTTATAGTAATTAGTCAACTTTCATGCTATATAACTTACTCACTACAAGTAAACCATGTGGTGATGATTCCTACAAGCTTAGCATGGAGAGCTTCTTGAACTTCTTTTCTGTTCAAGTATGTGAATGATTCATCTTCCACGCAAACATCTATCTTATCTCCCTCTTGCTAAACCATGGATGAAAGCAAACTTAAGAGAATATGAACATGAAAACAAAAAGAGGATCTAGTTTGAAAGAGAATGGATGAAGGGTATATACCAGTTGAGTCAGCCTATATGCCTGTTGTTTTTCTGATCGCAGACATATATCTAGAGTAACATCGTACGAATCAATATATCTACTAGTCTGTCAATCAGATGTTAGTTTAGTGGTAAGAGTTTGATTTTGTTACTTGAAATATTCGGTGTCCAAATCTCTTCGAAAACAGTTATGTACTAACCTCCATAGAGACTAGCCTATTCACTCTTGCACAAATGGGAGTAAGTGCTCCATTTTGATATTGTCTTCTAATTTGGGAAAAGTTGCATATTTTCGTAAAGGTTTCATAGGTTGAATCTGATATAAGTCCATGAGACCAGATAAACTCAGCTCTTGAATTGAAATCTGTGTTAAAATCAAGAAGAGGATTCCCTATCTGCAAATATCAACATAGGAACCTGTTAGTGTTATTCCTATTTACCAAATGTTTCTTCTATGAACCACTGACACAAACACGATATCTTAATAGTTTGAACTAAAATGGAAGTAATTGAATGTAATCAATGCTTCAGTGTCGTGACACCAGACACGCTTTTAATCTAAAGTCTCAGTGCTGCATAGAGTTTCTTATGCAATAACTTATTAAAGATCTCTCATATATGTATACTTACTGCTATTCCCTTGAGATTGATTTTGCTTTTCGTTTGGAGAATGAGTTGTGCAAGTTGAGGTGCATAGTGACCTAAACACAAGCATGCATTATCCACAACACAAGCTTCAAAATGAAAATACTATCCATTTAGAACATAGATACTCTACCTGCATAGCTCTCCCCAGTGATAAAAAAATCATTATTTTTGTACTCTTGAAATTCAGTGAACCAATGTTGTAGAAAAACAAGGTTATCTTTTGCTGTATAACATAGAGCTAGTATCAAATCTTGAGTAATATGATATTATAATCTGAATTCAAACAAAAAGAAGTTATAAAAAAACCTGTCATTTCATCATTGACAAAGTCATAGAATGATTCATTGGCAGAATAGGAGAAACCAACACCAGCAGGTGATTCCAAGTACAACATATTTGCTTCTGCAAAGAGTAGGAAATGGAAAAGCAATTTTGAGTAATTAAGCAGAAATGGATTATGAAAATTCATCTAAAATACAATGGAATTGCAAAGTTTCTGAATTACCTTTGTTCCAACTATAATCATTTTTAATAAGACCATTTTTAGATGGTTTGAATGGTCCATGCTCCACAAAAGCTCCAGCTCCAACAGATGAACAACCAGGCCCTTCAAAATCCACAAAACATCTTAACTTCTTCAACTGAATCTTAACACTCCATTAACATTCCAAAAAGAAAAAGTTTTACATATTCATAATAGGCTAATAGCCTATGTAACAAACAATTTACATTAAAGACGTGTCCGATGTTTGATACTGTCTGAGTCGGTCATAACACCGAAATATGTGATTATCCGTTAAACTTTCTCAAATTATTACCTGTTACTATATGTCATGTTAGATATTTTTGTGTCTATGTCAGTGTTTCGTAGGTACATACCTCCGTTTAACCAAAGCACAACTGGTTTAGAAGCCGGTTCAACTTCTGCTTCAACAAAGTAGTAAAACAAAGATCTTTTCTGCACTTCATCAACTGTAACGTAACCAGCATATTGCTGGAATTCCACTTTTGGCTGCTGAGGTAAACTGCTTATCTTATCAGATTCTGAAAAGGAATTTACTCCTACAATGATTTGTGTTGTAACAACAATTATTATTGTTGCAATCAAAGAGCATGAGTGAATCTGAAACATCCTAGTAATAAAATCTGACTGAGAAATTGTTGATTCTGTTTCTGTACCAAACTAGTATTAAGAATACGAAGGTTGAATGAATGAAGAAGGAATATAATATATATATATATATATATATATATATATATATATATATATATATATATATATATATATATATATATATATATATATATATATATATATATATATATATATATATATATATATATATATATATATATATGTGTGTGTGTGTGAACATGGAAATATGATTCATGATCATGACACTAGAGACAAGTTTTGGTGCTGAGCCCAATGTCTCGAGTCTTGGAGCTTCAATTTTATCTTGCAGATTCATTGGTGGTGCTAGTCTTATTTTCAAATTTCAATATAGTAGTATTTTTTATTTATTTAAATATATAAGAAAATAATTTATTTCAATGTGTAACATGATAGAAAATCTGACTAAGGTTTTCTGTTGGAGATTTTGTCATTACCTACTTGTGTATAGTATATACAACTACTGTATATACCCATTATATTCACGAGCTAGATAATTTGCTTGAGGTAAATTTTTCAAACATTTAGGAGTGATTGGTTTTAAGTATCAATGGTTAAGTTGATATTCTCTATGAACGAGGAAACTGATGGTTTAGGCTTTTAAGATATTGAATGGAGATGTAATGTTTTTCTTTTGAAACATTGATCTTATTGTTACTCTCAATTTTTCTCAACAACTAATATTATAAGTTTTTGTTTTTTGGTTGCAACATCACAAAAGAATAGTGGTGTTTTGAAAGTGTTGTAAACTGGTGTAAGGTGTATTGTGAAATTATGTGGTTGAACACTATAAAAAAAACGTTATTTGTGAGAGGTTTAACCTCTCACAAATGGTAAAAACTTCTCACAAATGTAAATTTTGCGAGGGAATTGTTCCCCTAAAAAAATTGAGGGTCGTAAATAAATTTCTGAGGGATATTACACGTGTGAAATTTGTCAGGGGTTATGCCCCTCGCTAAGTGCAACATGAATTATATAGTCTGCATGCTGCAGACGTAGGCGCGCATGATAGGGGGTATTGTGTCAGACTTTTTGCGTGGGGTTTAGCCCGTGGCAAAATGTAAATGCTTTTGCTACGGGTTAAATTCTTACAAAATACAGACATGGACATTTTCTCAGGAGTTTATCCCCGGACAAATCGTAAAAATATTTTTAAAAAAATTAATATTCATAAAATAAAAACCAATAATAATAATTATATTAATTAAATATATTAAAATAAAACTAATATAATTAATATAATTAATATAATTAAACATAATAAATATAATGAATAAAATTCAATCATATAATAAAAATTAAAATAAAATTTCATACAAATCAAAATAAAGTTTTTAAGTTTAAAATAGTTAACATAAATTCTTTCATACAAATTAAAATAAATATTAAATTTTCAAAATTAAAGATCCTATTCTTGTTCATCTTGTTCTTCTCCTTGTTCTTCTTCTTCAATAATTCCTCCATATCCACTAGTTCCTCCAAATCCACCACCAGAATTTTGCGAAGCAAAAAATTGATCAAATCTTTGAACCCGCTCATTTGCAATCCACATTGCTTCTTGATACTCTTGTGTTTGCCTCCTCATTTCTTCCCGTAACTCATTTTCTCTTCTCTACATTTCTTGTTGCATCTCTAATTGTTTTCTCTTCATCTCATCAATTTTTATATTTCTTGCTGCTACGTGGAGTGCTGCATCAGTATTCGCCAAGTTTCTCACAGTTTCAAGCATTTCCGCGGTTAATATAGGTGGAGTTGATGTTCCTTCTCCATCAGCAAGTCTCATTCTAAAACTCCTATCACACCGCTTGATAGTTTTAGCATACCCTCCAGCACCATACACTCTCCCATTTTTCTTCTTCCCACCTGAAACATCATACCATGTCCGAAAATCCAATGCAGGATCAACAGGATATCCCGGTGGTGGTTCAAGCTTAGGATGCTCTGACAACTGTAGGGCAAGTTGTTTATCAAACTCCTCCTACAAATAAAATTAAATGTTATAAAAATTCGAATAAACTAGGTCCATATAAAAGAAATAAATAAAATATTTTAAATATAAGAAAAACTTACTTGAGTGTTTCTTGACCGCTTGTCAACAAACTCTCCATTATTTCTCTTAATATGTGTCTATAGATGAAGCTCATTAAGAAGCAGAGTTCTACCCAACTCTTCACGCTAAT